CGCTGTCCTTGTTGGGAGTTTCCGACACGTGTCGTCGACATTCGTTTTGGTCTTCAGCAGAAGGAGGAGGAGGAGGAGGAGGAGGAGGAGGAGGAGGAGGAGGAGGGGGAGGAGGAGGAGGAGGAGGAGGATGTACGTGGAAGAGGAGGAACGTGGGATGAGTAGGACAGACCAGGGGGGAGGGGGAGGACGAGGAATGATACCGAATGTGGAAGACTGGGGTGGAGCCGTCGATCATCGCCGCTGACGTGGTCTGTCGCGCGTGCGCCGCCCCCTGGGGCCACGGGGGGTGGGGCCGAGGAGGGGCAGGACGAGGAAGAGGATAACGAAAACAAGGCTGATGATGACGATTATGCTGATGATGAGGAGGGTGAGGATAAGGAAGAAGAGGAGTTGCATGATTATGAGAATTTGGGCGGACGAGGAGCCGATGAGGATGATGAGGACCATGCTGATCCCTACAGGGATCCTGTAGGGTCCCTGTAGGGATCCATAGTGATCCTCTAGGGCCCCTGTAGGGATCTAGAGGGATCCCATAGGGCCCCTCTATTGACAAAAAGCTATCCCATAGGGTCCCTGCAGAGGTCTAGAGGCATCCTAGTGGGTCCCTGTAGAGATCCAGAGGGATCCCTATAGGGTCCTTGTAGGGATCTACAGCGATCCCATAATGTCCCTGAAGGGGCCCACAGGGATCACATAGGGCCCCTGTAGGGATTTAGAGGGACCCCATGGGGACCTTGTAGGGAGCCCCAGGGACCCCATAGGGTCCTTATAGGGATCTACAGCGATCACACAAGATCCCTGTAGGGATCCAGAGATCCCATAGGGTCCCTGTATGGGCCCACAGGGATCCCACATGGTCTCACGGATCCCATAGGGTCCCTGTAGGGGTCGACAGGGATCCTATACGGTCCGCGTACGGACCCACAGGGATCCCATAGGGTCCTTGTGGGGATCCACAGGGATCCTATCCATAGGGATGCTCTAGGATCCCTATAGGAATCCATCGGGATCCTCTAGGCCCGTTGTAGGGACCCATCCTATAAGGCCCCTGTAGGGATCGATGGGGATCCTCTCGTATCCCTGCAGGGATCCATGGGGATCCTCTAGGATGCAGGGATCCATAAGGATCCTCTCGTATCCCTGTAAGGATCCATAGGGATCCTCTGGGATCCCTGTAGGGGTCCACAGGGATCCTCTAGGATCCCTGTAGGGGTCCACAGGGATCCTCTAGGATGCTTGTAGGGGTCCGTTGGGATCCTCCGTAGGATCCCTGTAGGGGTCCACAGGGATCCTCCAGGATCCCTGTAGGGATCCACAGGGATCCTCTAGGATCCCTGTAGGGATCCATCGGGATCCCCTTGGATCCCTGTAGGGATCCATTGGGATCCTCCAGGATCCCTGTAGGGGTCCACAGGGATCCTCCAGGATCCCAATAGGGATCCATTGGGATCCTCCAGGATCCCTGTAGGGACCCATTGGGATCCCCCAGGATTCTTGAAGGGATCCATACACAGATCCTCTAGGATTCTTGTAGGGATCCATACAGATCCTCTAGGATGCTTGTAGGGATCCACAGGGATCCTCTAGGATGCTTGTAGGGATCCACAGGGATCCTCTAGGATGCTTGTAGGGATCCACAGGGATCCTCTAGGATGCTTGTAGGGATCCACAGGGATCCTCTAGGATGCTTGTAGGGATCCACAGGGATCCTCTAGGATGCTTGTAGGGATCCACAGGGATCCTCTAGGATGCTTGTAGGGATCCACAGGGATCCTCTAGGATGCTTGTAGGGATCCACAGGGATCCTCTAGGATGCTTGTAGGGATCCACAGGGATCCTCTAGGATGCTTGTAGGGATCCACAGGGATCCTCTAGGATGCTTGTAGGGATCCACAGGGATCCTCTAGGATGCTTGTAGGGATCCACAGGGATCCTCTAGGATGCTTGTAGGGATCCACAGGGATCCTTTCAGATCCCTGTAGGGTCCTTGTAGGGATCCAGAGGGATTCTATAGGGTCACTGTAGGGATCCACAGGGATTCTAGAGGGTCCCTGTAGGGATCCACAGGGAGTCTAGAGGGTCCCTGTAGGGATCCACAGGGATCTATAGAGTCCCTGGAGGGAGTCTGTAGAGTCCCTGGAGGGATCCACAGGGATTCTATAGAGTCCCTGGAGGGATCCACAGGGATTCTATAGAGTCCCTGGAGGGATCCACAGGGATTCTATAGAGTCACTGGAGGGAGTCTATAGAGTCCCTGGAGGGATCCACAGGGATTCTAGAGGGTCCCTGGAGGGATCCGCAGGGATTCTATAGAGTCCCTGGAGGGATCCACAGGGAGTCTATAGAGTCCCTGGAGGGATCCACAGGGAGTCTATAGAGTCCCTAGAGGGATCCACAAGGATTCTATAGAGTCCCTGGAGGGAGTCTATAGAGTCCCTGGAGGGATCCACAGGGATTCCATAGAGTCCCTGGAGGGATCCACAGGGATTCTATAGAGTCCCTGGAGGGAACCACAGGGATTCTATAGAGTCCCTGGAGGGATCCACAGGGATTCTATAGAGTCCCTGGAGGGATCCACAGGGATTCTATAGAGTCCGTGGAGGGATCCAAAGACTCCTAGAGGGTCCCGCACGGATTCCAATGGGAATCCGTAGGGAGCGTGTAGGATTCATACAGAATTCTTACAGAATTCATACAGAATTCATACAGAATTCGTTGTGTTGTGTTGTGTTGTTCCCCCCCCCCCCCTCCGACTCACCGGGGGGGCGGGACCGGCCTCCGCCACTGTGGCGGACGCGGGAAGTGAAGCCCCGGACCCCGGGGGGACCATGCCGGCCTGTACCTTGTTGTTGTTGTTGTTGTGGTTGTGGTTGTTGCTGTTGTTGCGGTTGATGTTGTTGTTGTTGTGATGGTGGTGTTGGTGGTTGTTGTTGATGTTGTTGTTAATGTTGTTGTTGTTGTTGTTGTTGTTGTTGTTGTTGTTAATGGTGTTGTTGTTGCTGTTGTTGTGGTTGCTGTTGTTATTGTCGTTGTTGTTGTTGTTGCTGTTGTTGTTGTTGTTGTTCTTGTTGTTGTTGTTGTTGCTGTTGTTGTTGGTGTTGTTGTTGTTGTTGTTGTTGTTGTTGTTTATCCTCCTCTTTTTCCTCCTTCCCGACCGTCCCGCGGGTCGTCTTTATCCGTGCGGAGCAGTTGCGCGGTCCTCAGAGCGTGAATTACCTCCACCGCTTTCGCTTCCAGGCAAAACCAAACCATACCACGCGCCTCCTCGTCAAGCGGCCTGACCAGTACAGGCTGCAATTTGGCATCGTTTGGTATTTCTTGGAAGCGAGGGTTGTCAAAAGCGAGGTAGGTTTGTTTTTCCCCTAGGTCCCGAGGTCCAGAACGGGCCTCCAGACGTCAAACATGATGAGGAAGTTCACCGACCCGATGTTTGCGAGAGGCGCCAGATGTCTCGGGTCCCCCCCTTTCCGCAGTCCTTGGGGGACTCGGTGCCAGATCGCAGAAATGGTCTGGTGACAATTCTGTGATTATTTTGTTGAATGCCCTTGAGGGTGCAGGCACCGCCGCCACACCTTTTTGGATCGTGGACTTCGGGGGGGAGACCACTGTGACGCAGAGATGACTACGATATCGCCACGGGCGGGTTGTCGTCTTCGGCGTCGTGGTGGTGCTCGTCATTGCTTCGTGGTCGTCGTGTTCGGCGTCGTTGTCACGATGGTCTGGTGACCACTATGTGATTATGAACCGCTTCTCTCATTCCGCCGGCCCGTATTGTGCTATCGCAGGCGTTTGCCTGCGCGTTCGTGGCCTCTTGGAGCTTCTGGGGTCCGTTTGGGGGCCTCTTTGCGCCTCTTTTGGGGCCTCTTGGGAACTTCGTGGGGCCTCCAGGGGGCCTCCTGAGCTCTCTTGGGGGGCTCTTGGGGCCTCCTGAGGGCCTCTTGGGGCGGAAGGCTCGACTGTGTTCCCCCTCTTGGGCCCCTCGTGGGGCCGCCTTGGGGTCCTCTTGGGCCTTCTTAGGCACTTCTGGGGCTGTTTTGTGGCCCCCTTGGACCGTCTTAGGGGCCTTCTTGGGCCGTCTTGGGGCCCTCTTAGGCCGTCTTGGGGCTCTCTTGGAGGCCTCTTGGGCCGTCTTGGGGCGATGTTTGGGGCATCTTGGGCCGTCTTCGAGCGTCGGGACGCCGAACAGAGGAGAACGCCAACATCCTTCAAAAGCCGAACGGACATCTATGGTTTTTGCCTCCTGGGGCCCTCTTGAGACGCTTCTTCGAGGCCTCTTTGGGCGCCTTGGGGGCGTCTGCGGCCGTCTGGAGGCTATCTTCGGCGTCTTGGACCGATCGGTTGGCGACTCGGAGCCCTCTCGGACTGTCTCGGGGACTCCTCGGGGGGCCTCTGCGAGCGCTCCCGGGGCGCCTGAAAGCCGCGCCCGGAAGAAAAAACACATTTCCGGGTCGGACCGCCTGTGGTATTTCTCGTCCGGGGACCCCCCGGAGACGCCTGAGACCCCCTTTTCGCCTCTGGCTGAGCAGTCGCCAGAGATTTTGGCACGCCCCTGGTGGGCCAGCGAATGTGTGTTCGACTATGTTTGATTATATTTGGATTTTTTGTTTTGTCTTCCAAAACCCACCTGTAGGAGGGCATGCTCGACCTAAAGGAAGGCTCCAGGATGGCCCCGTGTAGACTCCTCAGCGCGGCGGACTCCGGCGGCCAGGAGCGCATGGAGGTTCCAGAAATTTGGGTCGGGGCTATTTCATCGTGCGCAGAGCTCGAGTTTTTCCTACCTGCGCTCGCAGAACCCATCCATAAGTTGCCACTCGACGCAAAAGAGCCACACATGAGCAAGCACATCGATCACGTGTGTATGCTGGCCGCCAGGATTCTCTGCACCAGTTGGCATTGTGCTCGGATGCGGCCATGTGCCGCTGCAGACTGGCGCTTGCAAATTATCGCCGATGCGTGAATTCCGCCTTTGCCCCTTGCCATCCCCGTCTCGCCCGAAGGAGCAGGCTGCAAGATCATGGGCGAGGTCAGCCTTTTGTGCCCGCAGTGCTCGCATCTGGTCTCCCCGTGTCTGCTTTCAGATTCTGGTGCGTTTGCTTGCTCGCGTCAACTCGACGACTTAGCGAATGAGCTGCATGAGTCCGTTTTGCTCAGATAGTGATCGTGAGCATGGTGAGAATGGTCGTAAACGTTTGCCTGATCGATTTGCAGTTGAGATTTTGTTGTATAAGAAGGTTATCGCATTGTTCGCCTGGGCAAGCGGAGTCGGGAGTCGGGAGTCAAATGAATTATGCCGTTTGCTGGTAAATTTTGGCATGATTCAAAGACGCTCCACGCTCACCACCCGCCCACATAATTGTTGTAGCAGCTGAGACAGCCCAGCACGGTCAGAGGACGGGCCCCAGGCATGATGAAAGGGAGCAAGATGACCTCTACGAAACCGGAACACAGCCAACACATTTTCCCAAGCGGCTCCTGAATATTGCAGACCGTCTTGCAGGCCATCGTGGGCCAACCTTGCGGGGCATCTTGAAGGCCATCCTGGGGGCAATCCAGCGCCATCTTGGAGGCCGTCCTGGGTACCCTTGGGCCAGTCGGGGGGGCCCCTGAGGAAAATCGGTCCGAGACGGCGCCAGGAGCGCGCGTGCGGTCAAGACCAGAGCGAGGACAGCGAGCCGCCAGCAGATCGGCTGCTCCTGCGGCCCCGCACGCCGCAGGCGGGCCTGGCCGGAGGAGCCCAGGGAGGAGTGCGCACCCCCGCAGTCCGAAACGGGCCCTTGTTGAGACCTGCGTTGGGCCGGCGTCACCCCAACAGACTTATATTTTAACGTGCGTCGCCCCCCAAGGGGCGACGTGCGCACCGAGACATCTTATAGTATGTGTGCCGCGGCGGGCGCTTTCTGGCCACACCGCTCGGGAAGCGATATACTACAAGATGGCTATACTATCCGTTCGGGTCGGACGCGCACCTCCAAGGAGAACATATAGTACTAGAATGTCTCTGTGCGTCCCGTTGGGGTCCGAGCAGGTGGGGGTCGGAGGATCGCGCCGCATCGCCGATGCATCGGCGGAGCGGCTCGATGTGGAGAGCCCGATCAGCTCCACGCCGGCGTCCATCCTGAGAAACCTCGCCTTCTTGGCGGGCTGGCCCCCTGGCGCCCGTCGTTTGCGCGCGCCGCCAGACGGGGGCGCGCGGCAAGCGATTGCTTTTCAGGGCACTGCGATAGACCAGGTTGTCGGGCCCGCCTGCCCCCCCCCCCTGCAGAGAACCTGACTTTGTCGGCTGCGCAGGTCCGCAGGGTGATGCGCGCGGGCATATTGGCTGCGGCCCCCCATCACACCCCCACTGGATACCCCTGGTTATCGCGGCGATAAGAAACAGTCTCCAAGGCGATCGGGAGCGGCAGGACCAGCTGGCAGCTCGGGTCCGAAGGCGACCCGGACAGCCCCGAGGGCTGCCTGCTGGAGTACGAGGACGGCGCGCGCGGCTTTCGATCTGATTTGGACGGGCACGCAAGTGCAGGATGCGCGACGCGCGGCCTGGTGCGTTCGAAACGGGGTATGAGTCGGGCATGCCCAGGGTTGGAGGAGAACCGCTCCAGAGTGCGTCAGAATGCCCTCAGCCGTATCAGCGAAAACTGCCCAAACATACGCTTCTGGAGCTTCACGCCGATCTCTTGGATCGGCGCTGGGCCCTCCTGGCGGCGCCTTCAGTGCCGCCTCCTGTGCGCTTCGCGCGCCAGGGAGGGGGGCCCAGCGCGGATCCGAGAAGTCCGCGCGGGGGCCCGAAAGGTAGACGGCTCTGCAGTTTATCCGTTTCACGTAAGAACGGCCAGAGTGTATTTCAGAGCGTGAATTACCTCCCCCGCTTTCGCTTCCAGGCAAAACCAAGTCATACCACGCGCCTCCTCGTCAGGCGGCCTGACCAGCACAGACCGCAATTTGGCATCGCTTGGTATCTCTTGGAAGCGAGGGTTGTCCAAAGCGAGGTAGGTCTGCTTTCCCCCTAGTATTGGAACTCTCCCAGGGCTCTCGGGACTGCTCCGAGGGACGGCCCCGCGGAGACCGGCACACCCGGACCCGCCGGCTCTCTCAGGGACTAAACCGATTTCTGCCATCGCTCGCCGCCAACCTCGGCGATGGTTAGGGCGGAACCGAACGAGGCGTCGCGACCGAGGCGTCCTCGGCCATAGAATCCTCCTCCTCCTCCTCCTCCTCCTCCTGATCCTCCTCCTCCTCCTCCTCCTCCTCCTCCTCCGTGCCGCCAGCCGCGGATCAGGCCGAGGTGAAGTTCTGGGGCTGCTGGCCTAGCCAAGGGGAGGACACGGCCTCCTGCAGCAACGTCGTCTTCACCGATGGCTCTGGTTTTGCGTCCAGCATACCCGAACTGAGGCGCTGCGGTTGGGCCGTCGTGCAGCTATCCCTCCAGGGATTGCCTGTTCGGGCGGCTTTTGGGGCGCTGCCAGGGCCGCTCCAGACGGTCGGGCGCGCGGAGAGGCACGCGCTGCTGCAGGCATTGCGGCTCTTGGGGCCGCAGCTTGAGTTCGTCTTCACCGACCTGCTGTCGCTGGAGAAGGAGTGCAGCCACTGGGGGCAAGAGCTGGAGGAGGCGCGAGCTGCACATGCCACAGTGTGGAGACGGATTCGTGCCCAGCCAGCGCGGCCTGAAGTTAGGTGGATCCCCGCGCATCAGGACATGGATGCGTACTTGAACCGAGGCCTCCACCCGCTGCTGTACTCCGGCAACATGTGGGCTGACTGGTTCGCGCGGCAAGGAGCCATGCAGCACACCGTGTCGAAGGTGTACGAGGAGCTCTACAAATTCGAGCTGCAGCACTACAAGAGCCTGGCTAAGTACGTCGGCTGGGCCATGCAGAGGACGATGCACGCAGGACGATGGGATGCGCCCGAGCAGGCAGCCCGCCCGCCAAAGGTGCCTAAGGTGCAGGCGGCCACTGTGGTCAGCCACTCCCTGGTTCGCCTGAACGGGACGGCGGTGGTGCTATGCCGAGCCTGCTGCAGGTAGACCAGCGGGCAGACGGGGCCCACATGGGCGCAGTTCGCGCGCTCAGCCTGCGAGGCCAGCCAGTACACCGCGCTGCGGGCCGAGGCCATCATCGAGCACGTCGGTGCGCAGCCCATTGTGGTCTCGGAGGCGGGCGAGTTCGCCATGCAGGCGATCGAGCGTGCGGCGTGCCCCGAAGATTCGGGGCCCAGGCCAGCCGAGCCTGCCCCCTGGGGCTCAGGGGACGTCACCATCGAGATGCAGGGGCACAGGCTGAGGCGCGCTGGGCCCACCATCTACTGCGAGGTTTGCGTGGCGTGGGCGGCGACAGGCTCCTCTCTGGCCCTCGCCCTGCCCTGCGCTGGCCCGCCCAGCGCCGAGGGCAAGAACCAGCGGACCTACCTGTCCAACCTCAGGGCGCGGCTCAAGAAGCTGAGCCAAGGGCTGCACCCCAAGACGGGGAAGGTGCTCACCTGGGGAGGTGCAGGCGAGGCTCCAGACGGCCCCAGAACACGGGCCACAGCAGCGGCCAGCGCGGCCGCGGGCGACATGGCCTCTGAGGGCGACGGCGCTGCAGAGCGGCCAGGCGGCAAGCACGTGCAGACGGTGCAGGGCTTGGCGACCTGGCCCAGCCAGGACCACGAGACGTGCGAGGTGCCTGCAGGGGCTGCCGGCTCCAGCGAGGTCCAGACCAAGAAGCCTGCTTGGCGTGTTCGACGGCAGGAGCTTCTGGAACGGATGCAGCAAAGGCAGCAGCACCTGCTAGTCCAACGTGGTCCAGCAGCTGCCAGTGGTGTGCAGCGTGATGCGAGAGACATGGCCGACGGCAGCCTGCCCTCGGCCGATGGAGCGCAGCAATGCCCCGACGGGGGCACCTCTGGACTGAAGACGCTCCATACGCCGCCAGATGCCCCAGACGTGGGGGTGGTCGATGCCAGTCTGGCGGCGGGGCCGTCGCGGCTGCCTGCGCCTCTGAGCTGTGGCATGGCACGCAAGGTGACGCGGTCCGCGGACCACCTGGAGAGCGCCGTGGCCAGGCCCCAGGACATGAGCAGCCCGCCGCAGCCACGCTCGACTTCCGATATGGCCAGCACCAGGGGTGGCAGGGGACCTGCAAAGTGCGGTCCTGAATGCGGCCCCGCCCTGAGTGCTGGCAGGCCTGACAACCCGCAGCGGGCGCTGCCAGGCATGGCCAGTGACGAGGCTGGCAGGAGGCCTGCGAGCCGCGACCCTGTGAGCGGCCCCAGCACGGGCACTGACGGCGACGGCAGCCAGGCCAACTGTGTTCGGCGTAGTGCTACGGCCTGGGCCAGGGGTGGCAGGGGACCTGCAATGTGCGTGCGTGAGTGCGGCCCCGCCCTGAGCCCAGGATGCGACGAGGACCTCGACGGCAAGGGTATGGCCAGTGCCAGGGTTGGCAGGGGACCTGCAAAGTGCAGTCCTGAATGCGGCCCCGCCCTGGGCACTGGCAGTGGCCCTCTGGGAGCGGCCTCGCCTGTGGAGGACCAGTGGCAGCCGCCGCTGGCTTCTGGGGAGGTGAGCGGCCCCAGCACGGGCACTGGCGGCGACGGCAGACAGGCCAACTGTGTTCGGCGTAGTGCTACGGCCTGGGCCAGGGGTGGCAGGGGACCTGCAATGTGCGTGCGTGAGTGCGGCCCCGCCCTGAGCCCAGGATGCGACGAGGACCTCGACGGCAAGGGCATGGCCAGTGCCAGGGTTGGCAGGGGACCTGCGAAGTGCAGTCCTGAGTGCGGCCCCGCCCTGGGCACTGGCAGTGGCCCTCTGGGAGCGGCTTCGCCTGTGGAGGACCAGTGGCAGCCGCCGCTGGCTTCTGGGGAGGTGTGCTCACGTGCAGCTACGGCTGGTGCCAGGGGTGGCAGGGGACCTGCATTGTGCGGTCCTGAGTGCGGCCCCGCCCTGAGCACCAGCACCCACCCTGTTCGGCGACGGAGTGCGGCCTGGGCCAGGGGTGGCAGGGGACCTGCAATGTGCGTGCGTGAGTGCGGCCCCGCCCTGAGCCCAGGAAGCGACGCGGTCACCGACGGCATGTGCATGGACAGCACCAAGGGCGGCAGGGGACCTGCAAGTGCCGATCTTGTGGGTGGCCCTGCCCCGACTGCTGGCAGCGCTGCGGTGGCTCGGCCTGAGCCAGCGCAGCCGAGGCGCAGCGTCGCGCCCAGGCTCGAGCTGCAGGTCGCTGGATGGGCGAGGTACTGGACCCAGGCACCAGAGGTCGGCGAGACGATGGAGTGCTACAGCGAGTGGCTCGACCACTGCGTCGGCTACGTCACGCAGATCCTGTCCCAGCCGCGCTTCGCCACCAGGCTGCGGGCGCGTGGGAGGACGGCCGAGGAGATGGCCGAGGAGATCTGCGAGCGTGCTTGGGGCACTGGCATGCCCGCGAGGCGGGCCTACTACAGGTGGCGCAACACGCTGACGCGGTCGCAGAGGATCGTGTCGGACTGCATGCGGCGCTACGACTACGTGTGCCTGCGGTCGTGGCTGGCCGAGCTGCGGCGGGCAGGGCAGCCTCCGCCCATTGGCCCGCTCAGAACGTCGTCGGTGCCGTGGACTGCGGGACGCAGGAGGCGACGGAGGAGTGGTTGAAGATCGGCCTCTCCTGGCACGGCCAGCCGCTGCGGGGCGTCATGGCCCCAGCGGCTCGCCGCGCGGCGCCGCGGGGCGGCCTGGCCCCAGCGCGCCGCCCTTCGCGCTCGACGTGATCGGCTTCACTGGCCTCCCCTGAGGCTGCGGCCCCCTGGCCGCTCGTGCTGCGTCTAGTTGGCCTGGCCGACGCGACGCCCTGCCGCTGCTCTCCGCTGCTCTCCTCCTCCTCCTCCTCCTCCTCCTCCTCTTCCTCCTCCTCCTCCACGACGCCAGGGGGGGGGCCTCCGAGGCGTCCTCGGCCACGCCGAGGGGGGCCCTGGTGGCGGCGCGCGGCTGCCCGACCGGCCCCTGGCCGGGGATGGGGCCCAGGCCGTCGGCGGGTGGCTGCGCTGGGAGTCCGGGCAGGACGTTGGGGTCTGTTGGCGGCGCGCAGAGGGGGTAACGGGGGAGGGGGGAAGGCTTCTTAGAAGGAGGCTGCTTCTCAGAAGGCGCTGGCTTTCCATTTGTAGACAAGGCCCGCGCCTTCTAAGAGGCAGGGGTGCTTCTAAGAAGCCTTCCCCCCTCCCCATACCCCCCTGTGCGCGCCGCCAAGTCTGGGCGGGGAGGTGCAGGGACTGTGCAGGTTGCCGAGGCGGGCATTGCTACATGGCCACCGCCTGGAGGGTCAGTTTTCGGAGCCCCGGCAGGCGGTGGATATATGGATTTTTTTCGGGCCCCCGGGGGCCGAGATGCATCCTTTCATCGCCCGCGGGGGAGCCAGGACGTCGATTCCCAGACGGCGGATGTGGATCAATCCCCGACTCGCAAGGTTGGCGCTCAGAAGATGTCTGGCTGGGGAGGGGCGGGGGGTGGGGGGGGGAGCACGCCGCGGGTCCCAGGGCGGGTTAGGTCAGGTCAGCAGCCGTTCGGCGCGATGCCGGGTCCACCCGGGCTTACTCCGTCTGGACTCAGCCTCTCCCGAGCCCTGCGCCAGACGGCGCGCGAGCAGGGTGCAGATCGGGTCCCCTTGTCGCGGGCGCGGTCGTCCTCGAGCCCATCTGGTCGTCCTTTCCAGCAGAGCCCTGACGTCGTGCAGCATGTGCTGGAAACCAGTCGGCATCGGACCGGGAACTCGGACCGACGAGGGACGCGCGTCGGATCGGGACGTCTCGGCACGGGTGGCCTGGAGCCAACCACGCCAGGCTGCGCGCCGTCGCCACGCACGCACCAGACCGCATCGGGCCGCGGGAACTTCGACACCGCGTCGGATCGAGCCGGGTGAGCTCAGAACCGAGGCGGATCGATCGAACTGAGTCCGGCTCGGGCTCTCTGGGATCACGATCAATACCAAACGGAGGAATCATGAAGGCAACCAGACCAGTGTGTCTCTCCTTGCGGGGGTGCCGATGGAATGCCTCCAGGGCGTTCCGCAGCGTTCTTGTGTGGGGGGGGGCGTCCTCGGAGCGCCCTGGAGCGGTGGCCCCGAGAGGGGCTTTCGCGACCTGTCTCGGCCGGGTAGCGTCCTCTGCCCGGCCTTGGCGGGGCGGAGCCTCCGTCCCCTTCCCCCCCACGTGCTCCCAGGACGTCGCACGCTCAGGATGATTTCGCCACGAGGGAGGGGGGCCCGCAGCGAGGCGGGCCCTGGAGGTCCTCTTGGCACTCCGCCTGGCTCACCGGGCCCCCCCCCCCACGGGCTCCAGGACCGTCGAGGAACCGCCCAGGGGGGGAACAAATTCTTCAGGGGAAGAGCCCCGGGTCCAGGACCTCGCGTGGGCGAAGCATCTCCGTGCCCGCGGCCTCGCGGGCCAGGCCCCGGGGCCGCGGCCGCGGATCGGGGGCGCTTTTCCGCGAGTGGTCCGCGCGGGGCGTGCCCGTGCGGCCGCGAGCGGGCGGATGCGGACGCGCGCGTCGCGCGCGCGAGAGAGCCGCGGGTCCCGGGCCCCGGCCCCTTCGAGACCCCGTCGTCGCTGCGGAGCCCTCGGCCGGCGCACGGGGGTCCCTTTTTGCGCTCTTTGCCTGCCCAGGCTGTCATCCCATTTTTGGTTGTGCTGCCTGCTGTTTTCACGTGCGGGTGCTGGCTTGTGCGCGGTTGCCCTCCCTCTTGCTTCGCGGCGGTGGCTGTTGTCGACAGCCCCGCCGTCCCCCGTCGTCGCTGCGAAGCCCTCGGCCGGTTCACGGGGGTCTCTTTTTCAGTGCTTCGCCTGCCCAGACTGTCCTCCATTTTTTTGTTTGTGCTGCCTCTCTCCATCTAAGCCTCCCCTCGAGATCAGACGTCGGGTTTGTCCCAGGACCAGGAGGAGGAGGAGGAGGAGGAGGAGGAGGAGGAGGAGGAGGAGGAGGAGGAGGAGGGAAGGAGGAGGAGGAGGAGGAGGAGGAAGGGAAGGAGGAGGAGGAGGAGGAGCTGGAGAGGGAGGAGGAGGAGGAGGAGGAGGAGGAGGAGGAGGGAGGAGGAGGAGGAGGAGGAGGTGGAGGAGGATCCCCAGGAACAGGCTCTCTGTCCCGCGGGGTTCCCGAAGGACCCCCGGAGGCCGAGCCTCCTGCGGAGCAGTTCCGTCGGAGGCGTCTGAGCTGGGAGTCGTGGTCTGGGCTGCCTCCACGGGGCGGGAGCTGATGGCCTGGCGTTGCAGTCAGCCGGCATAGTAAGGATGGGAAACCTTCCAAAGGGTACCCTTGCATCCTTGCCTCCTCGGTCCAGCTTTGGCCACTTTCGTTGGCCGCGCTCCGCCCGAAGTGCTTCGAAATGGGTGTCCAAGGCCCTTGCATCCTTACCGCGCATCCTTATTAGATGGGTCGCCTGTATTGGCGATCTCATGGGTAATTTTCGTTTTGGTTCCGTGTTGCAGCAAAAGGCGGAGCGAGAACAGCGAGAGAATACGAAGACGGATCGAAGATAGAAGGCAGTGCTTCGCTCGCAAGCGGTGCCGCCAGATCGGGCTCGCCCGGGCGCCCTCATGCCTCCAGGTTTGGCTACGGCTTCTGCTGCTATCTGAGGGACCAGCGTGGCACGCGCAGGGGTGGCCTGGTTCCTGCATGCCTCCAGATCGGAGGGAGGGGTAAGCCTTAGTAAGCGGCACCACCCCCAGCGCGCCCCCTTCCGGCGGTCCACGATGCTTCCCTGAGGTTGCAGCGTGGAGCCGCCTCGAGCGCGATGCCGCGCAATAGGGGGACCACACCACCATCCATACCGCCCCAGAGGTGGCTGGGGCAAGTGGGGTCGGAGCGTCGCGCCAGATAGCCGATGCATCGGCGACGCGGCGCGATCTGGAACTCGATTGTCTCAATCTTGACGTCCCCGATGCGTCGGTGACGCGGAGCGATTTTCCGACCCGTCAGCCTCGGCCCCAATAGGGTGGCATCCACACCAGGAGGATCAGCGAGAAATTCATTTGCCCCTACTCGCCCGCTGACCGCCGATAGGCGTTCAATAGCCCACCCCGCCCAGGAACTTTCGAATCCCTATCGGGGCCTTACCGCCTATCACCGACCTATTGGCGATGCATCGCCGATGCCAACTCGATGCTTCCCCCCTGAGCCGGCCCCCCCTTACGTTTCCCCTCATCCGAGCTTGGGATCTCCTTCCGTTTCAGAGCGTTCTGGAACGCTCTTAGAGCATTCGGGAACGCTTGGAGAAGGCCGCGGTGCCCGAGACATTCTCCAAAGCCCCAGAACTCAGAGATTCTCGATTTACCCCCACCCGATGTCGTCCTCGTCCTGGCTTCGTCTTAGCTGTTGCACTGTTGGCGCAAGCTCCTGTCACCATGCCTCGACTAGATGCGGGCTCCCAGCAAGCCAGGCGTTCTTCGTGTCGTGGACAAGCGGCTCCGCGGGGCGCGGCGTGGCGGGTTTCGCTCACGACCGCGCGCGCGCGCGCTCGCTTGCGCAGGTAAGCTTGAGCATCTGTCGCCCCGCGACCCGCGCGCGCGCGCGAGTCGCTGTACTTCGCCTTTGTCTACGTCGAGGGCCCCTCGGGCGACCTCGCGGGGGGCCCAGTCGGCCTGTTGGGACTTGGGGGCGCGCGGGGCCTGTGCCCGAGGGGGCGACGGCGACGAGGGGGCCAACCGAAGGCGAAGGAAAGGAGGAGGAGCAGGAGAAGGAGGAGGAGGAGGAGGAGGAGGAGGAGGAGTAGGAGCACGAGCAGGATAATGACGAACAAGGACACGTCCCCTCCTCTTGATCGGAGGAGGAGGAGGAGGCGGAGGAGGAGGGGGAGGAGGATGAGGAGCGAGGATGGAGGAGAGAAGAGGCCGACACCACCAAGTCGGCGGCGACCAGAATTCGCGCATGCAAAGAATGAGCCTCGGTCAAGTACAGAGGCACCGTCGTTGTCGGCCGCCTGTCAGTGTGCAGAGGAGGACAAACCATGTACGATTGCGCCACACCTGATATCCTTACCCTCCTACCAATCCCTTCCCGTTGCGTTGAATTGGAAAACCAGAGATGAGGAGGAATGGGATGAGGGGGAGGACGAGGAGGGTAGGCTACGAACGACGTTCTTTCAGCCTTCAGGGATTGGGAAGAGGAGGGGTGGAGGGGGACGAGGAAGATGATGAGGAGGATGCATAATGTAGGACGTACGTATTTGGTAGGTGTTAGGTGGTAGGAGGAGGAGGATGAGGTGGAGGAGGAGGAGGAGGAGGAGGAGGAGGAGGAGGAGGAGGAGTAGGACAATCTAGAGGAGATGGAGGGGCAGGAGGACGACGAACATGAGGACGAGTACAGCTGGCACGAGTTTGAAGACCTACCCTTAACTTGAGAAGGGTGCTTTTATGCTCCTCGTCTTCGGGCTCTTCACCTCATAATGTTCTTCGCTCTGGGTATCTCCACGTGGTCCGCGGCCTTCGGCGAAGAGGTCCTGCTCCCCCCCTTTCCTTGTGTCCATGCTTCGACTGCGAGAGGGTGGGATGCGAGGCCCTGGCGAAGCCGAGCTTAGTCCCGGGCACCCCGAGGCGGGCACGCTGTCGGGCGGGGTGCCGGTGCTCACGCCCATCGGCAGGCGGGCCGGCGAGGGGGGGAGAGGGCAGGACGGTTTCTTTGGGGTCATCGGAGCCCCAGGCTCAGGGGGGTCTTCCCCCTTTCCTGCTGCTCCTCCTCTCTTCTCTCCTCCTCCTCTCTCCTCTCTCGTCATTTATCCCTTTCCCTTATAAGTACCTTCCCCTTGTCTCACCCCAAGACGTGTCGGCAGGGCGGGCCATGCGTTTCGCCTGAAGCTTCCTCACCATTTTCCCCAAAAAGTGTGTGTACCTAGGGTTTCTCTCTTCCACCTCAATGATCGGGTATAGCCAGGACCCCAGGTTAGGGGATGCGGTTAGTGGTGGGGCCTCGGAGCCCTTCAATTTGCCAGAATCACTAAATCAGGTCTGCCGTAGCTCCTGTTTTTTTTGGGTGACGGCAGTTCCGGTTAGTGGAACGGGGCGGAGGGGCGTCTACCAGTGAGAGAGCGTGATCCACCGCCGCTTTACTGTGGAAAATTGCCAACCTTTTCCTCCGGAACCCAGGGGTCTCCCCCCCCCCTCCGAAAATCCCCCCCCCCCGCTGCCGGAACCCCTCCCCCCCCCCCCCCCCCCTCTCCCGCCCCGGCAAAAACCCCCCCCCTCCCCGTAACCAGCCCCCCCCCCCCCCCCCCTCCCGCTCAAACCGGGGGGGGTCACTACCGGTTCGAACCCCTCCCCCCCCCCCCCCCCCCACCACCCCCACCCCCACCCCCCGCACCCCCCCCCCCCCCCCCCCCGCCCCCCCCCCACCGGAGCCGGAAAACCGGGGGTCACAACCGGTTCGAACCCCCCCCCCCCCCCCCCCCCCCCTCCTACTCACCGCCAGCAAACGACTCCCGGTCCCCACCACCGTCCGCATCACATCCCCCACTGTTGTTCCCAGCACCACTGTCCTCACCACCGCTGTCCCCACTGGTTCCACCACCGCCCCTACTGTCCCCACCAGTGGCCCCACCACTGTCGCACTGTCCCCGCTGTCCCCAGAACTGTTCCCACCACGGTTCCACTCTCCCCACTGTCTCCACGGCCCCAACCACTGCCCGACTATCCCCACTGTCCACACTGTCCCACTGACTCCTCCGCTGTCCCACTGAGCTGTCCCACTGTTCCCACCACTGTCCCCACTGTCCCCACCACTGTCCCCACTGTACCTCTGTCCCATTGTCCCACCGCCGTCCTCGCCACCGCCTTCACCACTGTCCCCACCACCATTGTACCCTCCACTGTCCCACTGTTTCCACCTCATTCCCATTGTCCCCACACCACTGTCCCCACCACCACCGTCACCACCACTGTCCACTGTCCCCCCCTGTTCCCACCATTGTCCCCACCACTGTCCCCACCACTACCGTCCCCACCACTGTCCCACTGTCCCACTGTCCCACTGTCCCCACCACTGTCCCGCTATCCCCTCACCACTGTCCCCACCACTACCGTCCCCACCACTGTCCCACTGTCCCCCCACTGTCCCCACCACTGTCCCGCTGTCCCCTCACCACTGTCCCCACCAACACCGTCCCCACCACTGTCCGCACCCCCACTCGGTTTTCGAGGGGGGGGTGGGGGGTTCGAACCAGTAGTGACCCCCCCCCCTTTTCATGATGAACTGGGGGGGGGGGAGGGGTTCGAACCGGTAGTGACCCCCCCCCGGTTTTCCGGAGGTGGGGGGGGGGGGAGGGGTTCGAACCGGTAGTGACCCCCCCGGTTATCCGCCAGCAAAGCGGTAAGAACACGCTCTTCTCACCTACATCACTAAACAGGTCCCACTAAACCCGTTCTGCCAACGCCCAAACCAAGGACACTGGTCCTGTTTGGCGGTCTCGGCTATCTGCGCGTCCGCCGCCCCGGCCGCCCTCGTCCTGGCCTGTCGGTCCTTGCGGTCTGGCGGCTATTTTAATCGCCGTCCACAGCCGGCCGTCGCCGTCTCGAGGCCACCACAGATATTGCCCCACTATAGGTTGCACAACATAAAGTGCACCGTGGTAAGCTTGCACTACAGAGATTGCACAATACATTGCACCAAACCACTTGTACCATGTATGTATGTGTATATATATATATATATACGAATACATAATATCAACCTTTCTAGCACCATCTCTCCTCTCACTCTCTCTCTATATATATATATATACGTAGCAACCCGCAATTGCGGATAAGAGTGAGGGGGCGGGCGCGGGCGACGCGGGCGTCGTCGAGCCGGCGGACCTCGTGGCCCCCACCTTCCTTGTCGATGGCGCTCTCCTCCACCTCCTCCTCCTCCTTCTCCTCCTCTTCCTCCTCCTTCTCCTCCTCCTCTTCCTCGTCCTCATCGTCATCGTCATCCTCCTCCTCCACCTCGTCCTCCTCCTCCTCCTCCTCCTCCTCTTCTTCCTCGTCCTCCCTCTCCCCCCGTCTTTTCATCATGGTCCTCCCATTGTCGTCCTCCCCCTCATCGGCCTCCATCATCGTCCTCCCATTGTCGTCCATCATCATCATCCTCCCCATCCTCCCCCTCCTCGTCCTCTCCTCCCCATCCTCCCCCTCCTCGTCCTCCTTCTCCCCCTCCTCCCCCTCGTCCTCCTGCTCCTCCTCCTTTTCTTTCTCCACGTTCTCCTTACATCCTCTCTTCTTCCACGTTCTCCTCGTCCCCTGTTTCCTCATCCTGCCTCCCCCTCCTTTCCCAAGATAGCTGCAACGCAATCCTTTTTTCCACTTTATGCTCCCCGCCTTCTCTGATCAAGGCAACTCGCCAGGGCAAAGTTGCTGGACGGGCTGGCGTGGATGTGCGGGGCGTGAAGAGGTCCTTGCGGGTTCAGACGGCATGCAAGAATCCGCCGCCGCGCTTGTGCGGCATTGGTTTGTTCAGTGAACGTGGTTTAGGTCGCGGGTGGGTCGCGGGCTCTCCACCTCCACGTGGAAGGAATGCAAAAGCAGCCCGCCGCAAGCGCCAAAAACATTGGTTCGTACACGGAACGAGGTTTGGGTCGCGGGTGGGCCGCGGGTTCTCCACAGGGAACGAATGCAAAGGATGCCCGCCGCAGGCACCGAAAATGTGGTTTGTACCCTGAACGTGGTCGCGGGTGGGCCGCGGGCTCTCCACCTGAAACGAATGCAAAATATGCCCGCCGCAGGCGCCGAAAAATGTGGTTTGTACCCTGAGCGTGGTTTGGGTCGCGGGTTGGTCGCGAGTTGGTCACGGGATGTGTCGCGGGCTCCCCACTTGGAAGGAATGCAAAAAAGCCCGCCGCAGGCGCCGAAAATTGTGGCTTGTACCTTGAACGTGGTTTGGGTCGAAGGTGGGTCGCGGGTGGGTCGCGGGGTAGGTCGCGGGTGGGTCGCGGGTGGGTCGCGGGTGGGTCGCGGGTGGGTCGCGGGGTGGGCCGCGGGGTGGGTCGCGGGGTGGGTCGCAGGTGGGGTCGCGGGTGGGTCGCGGGTGGGTCGCGGGTGGGTCGCGGGGTGGGTCGCGGGGTGGGTCGCGGGTGGGTCGCGGGGCGGGTTGCGGGTGGGACGACGACAACAAACAACAACAAACAACAACAACAACAACAACAACAATAATCCGCACCGCGGAATTCCACATCAGCCACGCACCCAGGGACAGTGAATGACCGTTCGGCCCCCTCACTCTGATATGTGCATTCGTTTTTTTTGTTTGTGCAATCTGGGCGGGGGGATCCCCCCCAAACTGGATTCCACGAATCCGGGACCTTGGGACCCTCTGGACGCGTTCGAACGAGGGTCGTCGGCATTTCCAGGCCGTCCACTGCGTTCTGCTGGGCCTTGTCAGCAGACCCCATGAGAGCTTTTGCTAGCACTAGAGCGGTCCAAGAAGGACCTGTACAGTTTCAAGCCGCCCAAGATGCCCCCAAAACGCCCCAAGGAGCCCTCAAGAGAAAACCCAAGAGCAAAACATATCGTCCCAGTCCTTTTCGGAAAACGTGCATTTCCAGCATGCACGACTTTGATGCATTTACGTTGTCCAAGAGGGTCCAAATGGCCCCCAAAACTTCCCCAAGACGGCCCCAGAGGCCCACAAAAGGTCCCATGACGGCCCAAGATTGCCCCAATACGGCCCAAGAGGCGCCCAATATTGCCCCGAGACGGCCCCATGAAGGCCCTAAGACGGTTTAAGAGAGCCCCTCAGATCGCCAGCGGGCCCCAAGAAAGCCGCCAAAGGCCCCAAAGTCTCCCAACGGCCCGTACAGTGGCCCCAAGATGCGCCCAGACAGGCCCGAAGAGGGCCCAAAGAGGCTTCAAAATTGCTTCCAGGAGACCCCCAGAAGTTTCCCAAGTACCCCACAAAGCTTCCTAACTACGTAGGCCATGCCTCTGAACGCCACAGCTGCTTGTGCTGGTGCCTGGGCTGCACTGGGAGGAGAGGAAAGCACAAGGAGCAGCAGCAGCAACAACAGCACATTTGCGCTTCCCTGCTTCTTCCTCCCTCCCTTACCACGTCTCCCCAATCCCTATCCAGGCTCTGGCTCCCTTGTGTGGCCATCCCCGGCCCTTCAGCCGCCCGCCGCAATGCACAGGGACATTGTCCAAGTGGATACGGCGGTGCGGCTGAAACGAAAAACGCCGCCTGCGGCTGAAACGAAAAACGCAGAAAGTGTGTCTCTTTGTACCGAAATGGAGATGAGGTTGTGTCGTTGCACAGCCAAATCAGATCAGAGTTGCGGTAGTACTGGTCAATGCGATGATAGTTTTGTGTGGACATCGCTTGAACAGGCCATCCCTTCCTCAACCCATGAGGCCACTGGTTCCCCATCGGCCTCACTCCCTTGCTTTCCCCCCACCTCCCCATTCGGCAGAAGAGGCATGATTCTATACAAGCGACCACTGCTCGCCCCTGGCCAGCCATCACGTGTGCGTCTGTGCGTCACACAGGAGCGGCAACACCCGATTTCCAACATGTCTGACGCTTTGCGTAACCCCCACCAGCCTTCCTGCAGACCCTGGCAGTCGGTCACCCTGGCAGTCAGCCCCTGCAGCTGTTGCACGTTTGCACCGCCAGGCAGCGTTGCAGCCCCGCCTCCACTCCGGCGACTTCCTTGTCCCGTTCTGAGTGCCGGTGCTCGGTTGCTTCTGTCTGTCTAATTCGTACCTCGCGCGGCCCGCCGGGACTTTGACACGCCGCTGTTGCGCTCTCGCCCGCGGCCGTTGACAAAAAAGTAACCCCCACCAGCCCATTCAGCAACGATGCCCAACGATTCCGCAACGATGCCCAGCTTTGTTTGCAGCGTCTACGACGGCCTTGGGACCGCCGAGATCACCCCAGAAAGCCCAAGAGGCTCCCAGCACAGTCCGACAGCGTGCCCAACAGAGCGGCCCGAAGGGTCTCCAGAACTCCCTAGGGAACCCCATTCTCGTCAATGCGACGCCTCAGAGATCCTCAACAGGCTCCGAAGAATCGCCTACGAGAACGATAGGAAGCCTCCAAGAAAGCCCGAAACGACCCTACGAAGTCCCCGGGGCGCCCACGCCTGCCAACACTGCCCAAAAAGATCGCCCCAGAACCTTCAACACGCCCCCAAAGCCCCCCAAAAATCCCCTTAGACGCCCGGAAACGCCATATTCATAAAACTCTTTTTCAGGGATTATTTGATATTCGTTCGCATTGCTTCCCATTGCGCTGCATTGCGCGACTGGACAACCTCGGTCACGACCGAGCCCATGTGATGGTTACGCTTGCACACGTGTTTGGTATGCTGCTCGCCCGCACGTGCCGTTGCTTGCGCGCATGAGCGCATGGTCGCTTGCATGTCTGATCACATGCTTGCGATATCGATTCATCGGAAACGTGCACGCGTGCACGATCACCTCAGTGTTCGCCGTTCGGTTTGTGTTCTTGCGCGTTTGCTTGCTGGCGTACTTGTTACTGTGTTCGTGTGGACACGCGCGTGCCAGATTAGTTTCTTGCTTGCGTGCGTGATTTCCTGCCTGCTTACATGCCTGGGAGCCTGCGCTCCTTGCGTTCATTTTGGCGTGCCTGCCTACAGAATTGGGCGCCTGCGCACGCACTCTTCGAAGGGGGGATGTGGGCGGCGGTGTAGCCTGCACGAGGGTTCATCACATCCGTGGCTTTGTAGGGATGCCCTCGTGTTGATCGTTCCGGGTGCTCTTCGTTGAAGTGTTCTTCGTTTTGGGGGATATCTCTATGAGGCTTGGAGCCTTCGGCGAAGGAGGTGGTGCTCTTGACCCGCGCTGCTGTGGCCATGTTTCGAAGGTGCGCGCTCATAGCCGCACCCGCTCGGTCCGTCTCACTTTCGATCACCCGCGGATTTCAGTCCTGGACCGCACTGCCTGTCTTAGCACGCTCCCGACGCGTTGCCCGTTCGTGGGTTCGACGGCGGGCGATTCTGGTGTGCTTCTCGGCCCCCCTCTGCTCCCGATGGCGGACCCGAGCCGCCGTGGCTGTCTTGCCAGTGCGGGGCTTTGCGGGCGTTGCCGGCCAGCCCTGGAGGCGTGACACCCCGAGGCCTCCAGGAATGCTGATGGGCCTGTGTTCCACCACCACCACCATATAAGTGGGATGGGGAGGTTTTTTCTTGCAGGCGCAAACGCAGCAGAGGACGCAAGTGTGACGAGACGATCAATTAGGCGCCGCCCGTGGCCTCTTTGACAGGGCCCGCCGTAGGCGGTCGCGTGGGGAGGGGTCCTCCTCCTCCTTCTCCTCCTTTTCGTCCTCCTCCTCGTCCTCCCCCTCCCTCCCCCCTCCAACTTCTGGTGGTGGTGGTGGAGAACAGGCCCATCAGATGCGTCTTCTCCACGCTGTGTGCCGCGCTGGCGGCCCGCGCACTGCCGCCCAGGACCACAGTGCCGTCGTCCGGGAGGCCCGGTTTGCTTTGCCGTTCAGTTCGGTTGTCGCTCGGCCAGGTCTGCCGAGACGCCCCCCCCCAACATCTGAGCTGTGCCTTGGCCGCCTCTTCGCCCCGTACCCTGTTGCCGCAGCTGCTTGCCCGCCGTGTGTCCTGCCGATCCAGCCGCTCACCCTCTGATGGGTGTGGGGGAGCTGCTCAGAGGAGGAGCGCACCGATGCCGATGCCCTTTCCTCGTCCTCGCCCTGTCCTTGGGGCCTCCTGAGAGCCCCCCTCGTCGTCGCCACGGCTGGATTCGCCTCGTAATTCTGGTGAGAGCGCACGCTGGCAGAGGTCTGGGGAGTGGCGGCGTCGGTGCTTGCATGTTCCCCCAGTGCGCGGAAGGTGCCGTGGCAGGGTTTGGCGTGCATGGGAGCCGGGCCTTGCCTTCCCACCGCCGCAGAGGTCGAACACGTTCTCCGCCGTGCCCTACCTGTCATGCCCGCAGACCCGCCTGATCGATAGGTCGGATGGTCGCCGAACGACGAGGAGCAGGAGGAAAGGGTACAGGAGGAGATCGGAGAAGGAGACTTCGTTGGGGAGGACGATGAGGTAGGAGCAACACTTGTTGACATCTGGCGTGCATTCCCGCCAGCCTAGCCAGAAACAATTCCCAGACAGGTTTCC